GTGTTAGCCTCATGTCAATATGCACACTGCCTCCTTCGAGGGCTTTAACAATCACGATACTAATTTAGTTAGATAATTAATTACATCCAAAAGGGTAATTAATTCGTTACATTAGTTAATCCTGGATTTAATTAATTGATTGATCATAATCATCATCCTTTTCAATTACGTAATAAAAAACTTTGCCATCATTTATAAGTTACGTGAGTCACGCTACCTATATATGGTATTTTTATTATTATTTTTTTAAACTATATATTATGCAATAAACGTAATGATACTTAAATTGTTTATGCGAAATGATCTCAGATAATTGTACTAAATTGTACGTAATTGTACACGAATGCAAATCCTATAATGTGAATACATAGATGATTGTACTAAATTGTGTATGGATAATTATACGTACTAAATCGTACATGCAGAGTATTTTTATCTACAATCGTTATGTAACCAATCAGGGCCGGCCATTCAAAAGTGGCATTCTTGATCTATAATAAATTAGAGATTATTAGCTGATATAATAAACAGTAAGATGCACAATACGCTAATTTTTTGATGAAACAAAAAAAACACTTTAAACAATAACAGTGGCGCAGTAAATGGCCGGCAAATTAATACAGTCGGTTAAGCACTGCTGTAAATCTTAAAGATTTGGTACGCGTGCGTACGTCATTATATTTTTTTATAATTATGTATTAAGCATGTTTATTTTAATCATGTTTATTTACTCCACTAAACGTAATACAAAACTAAGATTATCGTAATATATCAAAATTTTTATTATATAAACTACTGTGAAATCGATAAATCCACCTTTTAGAATCAGTAATATCTAGATTCATTATAAACTTATTAAATACTATCGTGAGAATTAAATAACAGTCAATAACTCTTCTTCAAGATCTACTATGGCATCAATGTTCACGTATGTTATTAATTCCAAAAGTATAGTACGTTTTATTTTATCTTCTAATTCATTTAAAAATTTTAGTAACTGGTGGCCTAAATATATCCCAAAGAGGATCATAATCCTCATTCTTTGCTTTTTTGCCATTATTATCAGTTATGCCGGTATATTCCAATATTAAAAATATTAAATTTTTATTTTTTTAAAAAAAAACTTGTCACATTTATTGTGGATTTATTCCCTTCTTTTATAAAGATCGATCAAATATGGCAATAGCCATAATTTATATGGCTAAAGAATTCAATTGGAGTCCTAAAATACAAGGCTTCGTATCGTCATCATTTTATTTTGGATATTTAATGACTCAGATTATAGGTGGTGCACTTACTGATAAATTCGGCGGTAAGGGAGTATTAAGTATAGGTAAGGAGTATTTTAAATTATAACTATTTAATAATAAATTATTTAAGAACTTTTATTTCTAGCTGCCGCAATTTGGACACTGTTTACTTTACTGACACCAATTTCTGCCGGAATAAACTTATACATACTTATACTGTGCAGGGTTTGTTTAGGAATTGGTGAAGGTGTATATTTTCCATGTATTCATTCTTTAATCTCAAAATGGTTTCCACCACAGGAACGAACTAGAGCTGTTTCTACAGTGTCTGTTGCAACTTTTATCGGTATGGTAATCGCCATGCCAATTTCAAATTTATTGAGTTCTAGTCAATTTGGTTGGAAAAGTATTTTTTGGGTATTCTCAATTATTGGTTTTATTTGGTCCGTTTTTTGGTATTTTTATGGGAAAAGTGATCCAAGAGATTATTCAGGAATTAGCAAAGATGAATTGGATTGGATCTTGGGAAGCAAATCGATTAGTAAATCGGCTGTTTGTTCCGAAGATAATTTAGCCCACTATCAGTCATATCCCAGTAAACATGTTGTAAATATTGACGACAATCATGATAATCCTCAAAGTGAAAATGATATGTTATTACCAAAGGGTCAAAAATCATTAAGGTCACATAAAATACAAAAAATTCCTTGGAAATTATTATTTTCTCGTCGTGAAGTGTGGGCAATTATGATTGGTCACTGGTTTAATGGTTGGGGCTTTTTTATTCTGGTTAATTGGTTACCAGTATTTTATTACGAACATTTTCATGTAGATATTAATTTAATTGGATATTACACTGGTATGAAATCATAATATTATTAATATTAGTTTATACTTACTTTATTAGATTTTATTTAAAACTAATAAATTTTATAAATTTTAAATCTATTAGCTTTACCTTACATTTTATTCATCATAACGGGAGTTATAGTCGGTTATATCTGCGATTATGCGATTAATCAACTAAAAATTCGCGTTATAACTGTACGAAAAACAGCTTGTATAATTGCAGGCTCTGGATTGTCATTATGTCTATTACTTGTAATTGTTCAAAATTTTTTTGTTTTATTTTTTATTTTTATTTTTTTACTTATATATGATTTACAGGTAACTTATTGGGCAAAAACATCTTATGAAGGATTATTGATAATGACAATAGGATATGCATTATATTCATTCTATATCTCGGGTGTAGATATATCTCATGTAATTAATTAATTAATTTACTTATTTATTTATTGTTATTAATTTACTTATTTATTTATTGTTATTAATTTTCTCATTTAATATAAAATTAAAATCTTGTCACTTATAGCTGGATATTGCACCAAAATATGCGGGAGTAATATGTGGTATAGGAAGTACTTGTGGATTAATCCCAGCTTTTTTTGGTGTAGCACTAACCGGTTGGATATTAGAGGTTACTAATAATGATTGGAGTATTATTTGGAGTATGTGCTCCTTATTTTATATGATTGGGGTTACATTTTTTGTTTGCTGGGCTGGTGGAGAGGTAATAATTGATTGATGAAAAATGGTTATTTAGGTTTTATATAAAGATGTCCTATAGATCAAATTTATTACCGTAAAACCGCGAAATAACGAGCATGGGCGTTATTTCGAAAATCGGGTCCTTTAAAAATGACATTTATGATTTCGAAATAGCGCCCATGGGCGTCCCGAAATAACACGCATCTCATATATATAATTAAATTTTACAAAAATATAATCCTTATTTTCAAATATTATTAAAAAAAAATTTATTTAAATACATTAATTTTTTAAAAAAATAGATCAGAAATATTTTTATAGTAAAATTCAGTACAAATTTGTACTGAATTCCAAACGGTTTAAGGGATACTTACTCACTATACAAGTAATTTAAAAATATTACTAAATAATAAATTGCTGTAATTTAAATCTTAATAATTAATTATTATTCTTGTCTTACTCCCTAATGATAAATAATATGAGATTTTGATTCAAAATAAAAATCAATTAATAAATAAATAACCTACTTGAAAATCCAATATTCGAATTTGTTATAATTTTCTTCTACTACAATTCCGTATCTATAACAAACAGCTGTTTTAAAAATTCCCATAGAATTACCAGACTCAGCCGATTTTAGATAATATTCAAATGCCTTTTCTTTATTTATCTTGACCCCAATTCCTAAATAATAACAATGGCCAACGTAATACATTCCATCAGAATTATTCATATTTGCTGACTTTTGATAATAAACAAATATCTTGTTTTCATCCTTTTCAACTCCGATTCCATGTTCATAACAATAACCAAGCCAGAATATTCCATCTGGATTATTCTTATTTGCAAATTCTTGTAGCTTAGCAAAATCAATTTACTAAAAGTATTAGTAATTTTTTTTGACATCTTAGTAATAAAACGAATTATGCGCACGAAAATTTAGTAACTCGTCTTTAGTTTAAATAATATTAAATTAAAGTTTACGCCTTCTGTATACATAATATTCATTCACAACTTTAGCGTAACGTGTTACATTTATAAATTAACATATGACGAATTCAATCAAAATTAACGTTGTTAATAAACAATATAGCGAATTCTTGTATGCTACATTTGAAAATTTTATTGTTATGGCCCATTTAAAGTAATTAATTTAAAGCTGTTTAGATTAACAACTGTTTACAATTTAAGAAAGGTCATTAACTAAATAAGGGGCAAACCTTCGGTAAACTGTTCAAAGAGATCCGGGGATTTGACAACACACGCACTAAACGCTAAATTTAAACATGAATTGTTGGCTAATACTTATGAATTTATGAATATTTATGAATGCATATATATACGTACGTTCATACTGTACATCCTATTATAAGGGCCTGGGTTAAAATCCCAACAAAAACTGACCAGAACTACGACTAATGCGGTCCAAATTAACAATACAGTATTTTGACCTAAACCCAATTATAACCGATAATTGGTTGTTATTACATATATTTGCGGGCGACTTCGTCGCCCGCTTGCAGTTTTGAATCACATTGTTTAAAACGTGACATTTATTCAATCAAATATTGTTGTGTACTAGAATTGATTAAAAGTATATGTTGTGATTTGACATTAGTTAATAATTTTTTTGGTCAAGTTGACAAGTTGAGGCGGAGCACAAATACTATTTTATAGGATACAAGTATGATCGATGGGTGGTAATCATTCACGTTTTATTTTTATAACTGGTAATTAGAACATAATTATGAGGGCAGTTTCGCCGCCATAATATGCCCCTGCGGGGCCAAAGCTGGTGCAAAAAATTAAAGCATTTTCTTTCCGTCATTAGATATTTCGTTTTGAATTTAATGCACCAATTTGGGCCCTTCCTGGGCCAAAGCTGATGCATTAAATTTAAAGCATTTTCTTCCCGTTATTTAATGTTCCGTCTCGAATATGACACACCAATTTGGGCCCCTGCGATGCCAAAGTTGACGCATTAGATTCAAATCCTGTGCATTAAATTTAAGTCTTTTATTTGTCATGTGAAACGGTCATACTGTGATCCGTACAGCCGTAGGATTACAGTACAGTTGATCTTATTACCTGCCAAATAAAACAGTTACTGGATGTTACACATCCATGTTTTCTGATCCGAATCTAAATTGCTATTGGTAAATGAATATAGTGCACATTTTCAGAATGTGGCGAAGCATGAAATTGATCTCCGCTGTGGCATAGAATGACAAATCACGTAAATTCTTGTTGGTCAGGTGGTTGTGAGGGATAGTTCTTTTGCCTTTCACCATGTTCTTTGAAGATCATCGATTATCAATTAATCAAACCGGCAAAACATCCAGAGAAAAAAAGCGCGTAATGCCAAAGAAACCAAAAACAAAAGTACAAGTTAAGACCAAAACATTCAAAAATTACAAGAAAATACATTTTTGCATCTAAAATAGTACACACACGAAATGTCTCGATGACAGCTTACATGCTCTTGAACCGTATCAGCATCTGAATCATATCAAAAACGAATCGTATCATCGAAGTATTACTAACGAAAATTTCCTTTTACGGAATTAGAAGGAAATAATGCACGTCGATCCACGTACAAACTGGGAATATTTCGGAGTTTCGGAACATTTCGGAATCTCATAATCCTGGTCCGCATTAGCAGCAAGCTACCATAATGCGGGCCAGAATTCTATAATGCGGGCTACAACTAGGGTTGTATTACAAAAATTATTTGGGACTAGCAATACCAGTTAAAAAAATTTCGCTCATTATGTGATCCTATTAAAAAAAATTTCGCTAAGAAAAA